CGTTTGCCCCTTAGTCCTTGATTTCACTGATGGAAGCAAGGGATAAAGTGTGTATAGGTGGACCGGAGTCGCTTTATCTCAGCAGATTCCCCTTAGGTAAGAAATCGCTCTGAGACGCCCCATCCTCCTGGTCCTCGTGTAGGTCAGAACCGTGTTTGGAGCCTGGAGTAAGTCGAGCTTCCCATAAAATGGTGTTCTGGAGACATCTTCATGGATGCAGCCTCTTGGGATTTGATGACGCAGGGTCGCAATCTTTGGTCGGAGAGATGCTTGTTTCTTTTGGTTTTAGAGCCTTTCTGCTGAAGGCAGGAAGGAATGGATCATAGATCCGGAGAAAGCGATGCCTCGGGACCTCGGGCTGAAGTTTTCAGAAGGAGAATATGGTCTTTTGAGTTTGGGCCATAGCCCTTTTGATTTTGGCGCTTGTTTTCGCGCGTAGTGATATCTCCGAGTCGCGTAGGGGCCACCTCTTAGGGTTTCCTACTTCACACTCTCTCACATCTCTTCGTCTTACCATTTCTCCCTTTACTCCTTCTCCGGCGATCACTGTGGTGATTCTTTTTCCTCGAAGATTTCTTCCCCTCTGGAACAGGTAGCTATCTTCTCCCTTCTCTCTCTTCACATAGATATGTCTTTGATAGGAAAAGGAGTTAGGTCTAGGAGATGTGTAGAAACCCTAGAACCGATAGGGTCCCCTTTGCATGTGGCCGATTTGTCCGTAGAGTGCCATGGATCTGACTCCGCAGACGTAGCGGAGGAAGTTAGTGTTAAGGCGGAGAGGTCCTTAGCGGTTGGTCCCCTTTCGAAGATAGGGGAGAAGGAGATCGATGAGTGGAGGATGAGGTATGGTCTCCCTGAGGAGGTGATCATTCATGCCCCGAGGTCTTCGGAGAGGGTCTCGGATTTCAGAGCTGGCGAGGTCCCGATCTATGAAGCTTATTTTGATTCGGGATTTAGGGGTCAGGTTCCTTCCCATGTGGCGATTCAAAACCTTAGTGAGCTTGAGGGCATTATCTTGGGGGTGAGAGAGGTTTTGTATTCTTACTTTGTTACGCCCTTACATAGTGGCGGAGGTAGGTACTNCCCATGTGGCGATTCAAAACCTTAGTGAGCTTGAGGGCATTATCTTGGGGGTGAGAGAGGTTTTGTATTCTTACTTTGTTACGCCCTTACATAGTGGCGGAGGTAGGTACTACTTCCATCCTTGGCTGCGAAGTCCTCTTGTACGAGAGATCTCGAAGAATGAGAAGAAATGCCATCCTGTCTTCAGTGGGTCGTGGGCTGAGAAATTCGCGTTCATGCGTATTCTTGGCTTTTCCTCCGTTTGGCATATAGTTGGTAGGTAGCTGTAGTTTTCTCGTAATCCATCATTACTTTGCTGACTTCTTTTATCTTTTCGCAGATACATCTCACTCTTTGGTAGGTGAAGGACAGTCAGCAGTGGACCAGGTTTTCAAGCTGCCCGAGGAGCATCATAGAGTCAGTTTTTTGTGAGCAAGGAAGTCTTAGATCGTTGCAGTATCTTGGGTAGGTTTTGTGAGCCTTTCTACTCTAGTTGACCTATCGTGGTTGCGAGATGTGTTGTGACCAGACCGAGTGTGATTTTTTCCAGGTAATATTTCGGGGTCAACCGGAGAAAAGTCATTGGAAGCTTTTGATAAGGTGATGGAGAAGCTATCTGCCAAGAAACCACTATCCAAACCGGTGGTTCGGGAAGATGATGACGTTCATTTCCTTGGATCCAGCAAGCGCAAGGCTTCGGCTGGTCCGATCCCGACTATCTCCAAGAAGAAAGCTAAAGACATGGGGACTACCCGGGAGCTTCTCGTGTGGCTCCCGACGAACTGGCCGTAGCTCTGACTTATCTCAATGAAAAGGTGTTCCATATAATTCTGTGCTACCTTCCTGCGCGGGACCTCTCGAAGTCCATTACACTCCTTCAACGTGATCTCCTCTAGGTGTGTAACTTCCCCCTGTTGTATACAATGTTTGCGTGCTAGCTTTTTATGACGACACTTTTTGTAGGTGGCNAACTGGCCGTAGCTCTGACTTATCTCAATGAAAAGGTGTTCCATATAATTCTGTGCTACCTTCCTGCGCGGGACCTCTCGAAGTCCATTACACTCCTTCAACGTGATCTCCTCTAGGTGTGTAACTTCCCCCTGTTGTATACAATGTTTGCGTGCTAGCTTTTTATGACGACACTTTTTGTAGGTGGCATCCCATCTACATCATTTCAAGGGAAGCCTTAGTTTCCAAACTCTGTGATGAGGAGAATCGTGGCTTGGCTCGGGAGAAGGAGATCAAGTCTTTGCAGCTTAAGCTGAAGAAGCAAGAGGATGCTGGAATCCTAGCCGTGGCTGAGAACGTTGCTCTTAAAGGGGAGTTGGAGGAGTTGAAGGAAAGAGTTATGTGGGTTGAAATCCGAGAAGGATGACTTTGATGATGAGTGGGTTGTAGCAGTTCATGGGGCCACGATCGCAGCTCGCTAGGAGCTGATAAGAGATTGGCTTAGTGGGCAGACTGACAAGTGGAGGCCAAAATAGGATTTGGAGCGCTACAAGAAAGTGAAGATTGCGGAGGCTAAGCGCCAGGGTCTACCAGGGTCTTCCGGCTCATCCTTTCGAAGATGAGCCTGTCATTGGGGAGACAGCGGTTCCGGGTGAGACTCCTTTGCTTGCGTCTGTCGATGATCCAAAGGCCTCCTCTTCATCCCCTGCCGATGATCCTAAGGCCTCTTCCTCCGCTTGAATATCTTTTAGAACATGAACTTTTGCCCTTTGTTTGGGTTTTGCTATGCTGTGCCCTTCGGGGTTTTAAAACTTGGTGTTGAGCCTCCGTGACCTTTTTGTTTTTTTGTAAAACCCTTATGGCCCCTTGAGGCCCGTATTCTTAAAACTCTTTCTTTCAGTGGATCATTGCTTTTGCTGTTGATTGAAATTTTTAGCTTAGATGCTTCATATAACTCATCAAATATGTTCTGCCAAACGTTAGGATATTCTAGGCTTGTGGAGGCGAAGATCCTTTGGGCCTGGCATGGATCCTGAGATTTCCGGTTGGGCCCTGCATTCGTCCACTCAGATGTGGAGGTAGGAGGTTTATGATAGGAGGTTTCTCCGTGGAAGCATGAACTCGTGGTTCTGATTTGACGGGCTCGTCGTCTAGGCCCGGGGATTCTGATTGAGCCTGGAGGCTCGGTGCTCCGGCCCAAGGATATTTTGGACCCGGAGGTCTATGGCTGGGCCCGGGGGCCAGAAGTGTAAAATTCAGAATTTTGAACACTAGAACTCAGAAGCTCGTTCTTTAACCCTGAGGCTAAGTACTGGACTTTAAAAGTTTAAGTCAGTTGCTCGGGACCCGGAGTCTGTCCTAAAATACAAGGGAAATTGTTCGGAACCCTGATGTTTTCTGAGTAGCTCTAAGGTGCTTGACCTGGACACGGAGGTGAGTAGATAGTAGATGTAAAATTCGGGATTTTGAACATCGGGGACCTTGGGGTCGGACCCTGAGGTCTTTATTTTGAGATCGTATTCTGCCTCCCTTGGGTAGGCCACTACCGATCTCAAGTGAGAATGTAAAATTTGGGATTTTGAACATTCAGGGCCCGAAGGCTTGTTCGATTGTATTCTGCCCCCCTTAGGTGGGCCACTACCGTTCTCGGGTAAGGATTCGCATTCTGCCACTTGGGCCACTATCGAGATCCTATAAAAATGTAAAATTTGGAATTTTGAACATTTGGGGCCCGGAGGCCCGTTGTCATCGAGACCGTATTCTGCCACTTTTAGGTGGGCCACTACCATTCTCGAGTAAGGATTCGCATTCTGGCACTTAGGCCACTATCGAGATCCTGTAATGATGCACTCTGCTTTCTGCAGAAAGCCACTCTCAGTCTTATATGTTTGTGCTGGGGTGGGTCTACTGGGAAGTAGTGAGCCACGTACCAGACTTTCTGCTTTCCACGTCTGGATAAGTAGGATACAAGTGCTCCAGAGGTTTTGTGCACCGTCTGCTCCCTGAGACCATGGGGCTGATCTCAGCACTCTGCAGTTATACGTCATGCCCTCTGCATCTCGTGTAGCTTGTAGCGTATTTGATGCAGGGATTGAGGCACTAGTATGTGTGGCCTTCTTGTAGATTACGGCTCAAGGCCTCTACGCAGGGGCTGAGGTATTGTCGACATTGTATTAGGGTTGATCAAGTCCGTTCCAATTCGCATACCCAAACATTTATGTATGTGAAACATGTCACATAGATATGAGGACCGAGGTGCCCCTTGGGGCCTGGTCCTGCTTGGCGGTTTTGTATGTGAAACATGTCACATAGATGTAGGGTTTGCCAGGATCAAGGTGCCCCTTGGGGCCCGATCCAGCTAGTATGCCCCTTTTAAGTTCAGTGGAGTTCATGTGGCTCCTTTAGTCGGAACTAAATTATGTTATATAAGCTTAGTCCATAGACGTTTTTAGCATACATAGAAGCAGGAAACCAGTGTACTTAAAATATATAGATAGCAAGGTATCTGTAGAAAACCCGATCCGGAGATCTAATTAGAAGTAGTAGAACTTGAGGTGCAGGGCGTTCCAGCAGTTAGGTTGCAAAAACAAACTAGTATAACAATAAAACGATTTTCCAACTATCTGTGGAAGAGAAGCAAAGAAACAAAAAAGGGAAAGAGAAAAGGCTGTTATTAGAAGCGAAAGCTGACTGGGCAATCTGTACCAGCCATTGATGGAGTGACATGAGTTCAGGATGATCTAAGCATTACGCCTGGGGCGCTTTGGTTTCTGCTGCTCCTCAGTAGATGAGGGAAGACAGTTTGCATATGGAGATCCTCCACCACTGCTTTCAGTCACCACTGAGATATCCACCTCACTGGCTGGAGGCAGAGCTGGCATGTCAGCTGGTCGGTCTTTAGGAGGTCGGACTGCTGGGAGACTAATTTTGTAATAGTCAAGGACATCTTCGATGTGAAATTGAAGTGGGCCACCTTGATCCTGAATTTGTGTGTTTGTANTATCCACCTCACTGGCTGGAGGCAGAGCTGGCATGTCAGCTGGTCGGTCTTTAGGAGGTCGGACTGCTGGGAGACTAATTTTGTAATAGTCAAGGACATCTTCGATGTGAAATTGAAGTGGGCCACCTTGATCCTGAATTTGTGTGTTTGTACTATGGTATCAATGAAACATTGTGGTAGTGGGACCTCATGCTCAGCAGCATCGCCACCATTTTCCTGATACAACAGCATAAAGTTACCAACTTCATGACTCTTAAGATGTAAGGCTATAGGAGAATAACACTCACCTCAGCATATTTATCGATTAGCTCTGTTGCTCTTCTGCCTGTCAGCTCTTTCCCAGCATCTCCAAGAATGATGAACATGGACTGCTCCTCACTATCATAGACGGATAATTCCACCCAGAAACTGTGTTTCAGGAAAGTGGATCATGGCACAAATTTTAGAATGCAAATATGTGAGTAATCACACCCTTACTTAGCTATTGATGTAGCATTTTCATTTCTGCATTTTGGACATTTGAAAGTTGTAGGTCCCTGGTTTAACTTTGTTTGACAATCCTTGCAAGCAATGTAATACCACTCAGTACCAAGCTTGACATCATAGAATGTGGAAATGCAGTCAAAGTAGGCAATCTAAAATTACATGTTTATATTGTTAACAGGTGGCATAGGTTTTTTGAGGTTCATTAAAAAAATTGAGATTACCTTAGCTGGCTCATGGTTGATGAAGGCAGCAATCCCACGTATTGTGAGCGTTTCAACTTTAACTATCTCTATCTTGTTGACTGAAGAAGCAGCAGCCAACCTTGAAGAATAACTATTGATCAGGTGATGACTAAGAGTGGTAAAGTACTGTAATTATAATTCCTACCAGCTGAAGTCGTGGTCCAAAAAAACTCTAGATGAGGACATTGACCTTAGACATAACTTGCATGTTAAGTGAAACACACAGAATGACGCAAAAGCATTTAATGTGACTGGAGGTTTAAGTAACTGAGTTGAAAGAGTAGTTTAGTACGGAGGGAGGAAGATTACCACCGAGTCTTTTTGGATTAACCGTTGTAACCAAGAGAACGGATGGGGTGGTTTGGTTTTCAGCGATCTTACGCCTGAAATTTTCTGCAGCCTGGTCCAGTAGATAAACGTTCAAAATTGGACCTCTACAGTTTAAAATATGGTGTATGTTACATTAAAAAAAAAATTGGATGGATCATCTTTATTGAAGAAACGATGTATTTTATTGCTCGAAATACAGACACTTACACCTTAAGCTGGAAGTGGACCAAATTTTCTGAGAAGCTGAGCCATCCTTGGGGCATAGAACCGGACGTTGATGGATGGCCATCAACCAGCTTAAGGTTACCAACAAAATCTACAACACACACACATAGTTAGACAGAATATTCAGAGAGTTTTAATTGACAAGATCTCAACTAAACCTCACCGTGAAGATCTCCTCTAAGATCGAAATTGGCTTCAAAATCTGCAAAGGTGTGGATCCTGAAGCGCTGGGAAAAAATGGCTTCACTATTTTCTTAAAGCTTTGACAGGGCAGAGGTGTGTGTGAAGCAAATAACCAGCTTCTGATCATCCACACGGTACATCACCTTGTTGTTGGATGCNCTTCACTATTTTCTTAAAGCTTTGACAGGGCAGAGGTGTGTGTGAAGCAAATAACCAGCTTCTGATCATCCACACGGTACATCACCTTGTTGTTGGATGCAAAGAAGTTTGTGAGAGTGTAGATACAGCCACGTTCAAGATCATTCTCATATCGGTTGAGACGGTTTTTAGGGATGAATCCCTGAGCTACAGTACCTTAAAGACCAAAGCAAAGAGCTAATTCAGTTCATATCTTAAAAAGTATTGTGTAAAAAACAAAACCGATTACTCTATCATGAATATGCAAAACAGAGCAGTGATGAACAATATATTAAGGTGTGGAACAACAAACGAAACATATATTTTGCTTGGCGGTCCCAAACATATCTTAAATAGTAGGCTTGTATTAAAAAAAAACGACGTCATTAAAACATTTTTGTTCACCCTATTAAAACATTTCCGTTCACTATTTTCACTTATTTACAGCCATACAGTTAGGAATTCGGAAGAAAATAAGGCATCGGAACATACCGCTTCATCAATAATCAGTATCTCGACCCCAAGTAGGATGCCTTCATTCGAATTGTTTTTAGCTTCCCAGAAATGGATTAGCCTAAACATTAACTTAGAATCTCCTGGTCCTGCTGAAACCTGACTGAAGAGAATGTTTGAAAGATATTTGTGTTAGTCTTTGCAAATAACAACCGGGCACTATGGTCTAAGTCTCAGAAATTGGAAAGGATCTTGTAAGATTTCCTTTGAAGATATTACTAGCATTGAGTCTGATTTTACCTCCGCTGTAAATAATGATTCCTTTTTTATGTGATTTAATTCATTTATCTTAATGTATGTGTCTTTCCCTTGTTTATTTGTTTTTATCTGTGCAATGTGTGGACCATACCTCTCTAAGTTGATGTTTAGGCAATATATGTCAAAAAACGACAATTTCAAAACAACTAAACAAACTCACTACATTAAAAAATTCTGAGATAGCAACAATTTCAATGATTATATCACAAGCTCACTACAAAATACTAATACTTCTCACAGCCCAGGAACCCGCTACTACTATGCCACCTATATTTATTTCATACAAAGGTACGTTTTATTGCTTTTTGTAAAATATTTTCCTACAAAGGGTCACACGAAAAAACAAAGTGAATAATCAGTCATGGTCACGTTGACTTTGATCGAATTTCCATATTCTAACAGTACTCTCCTATAAACAACAATGTGCTTTCTTAATAATTTATGGATTCATCCTTCAATATTCNGTAAAATATTTTCCTACAAAGGGTCACACGAAAAAACAAAGTGAATAATCAGTCATGGTCACGTTGACTTTGATCGAATTTCCATATTCTAACAGTACTCTCCTATAAACAACAATGTGCTTTCTTAATAATTTATGGATTCATCCTTCAATATTCAGTACCAACAATTATGTTCATAATAACATTTAATCCTAAAAAACAATTTTTGCACGTAGCGCGGCCGTGATACTAGGTAATATAAAAACAAGAGTAAAAAAAGAAAACACCAAAAAATTAATAATTACAAAGATAAATTACTTTAAAAGAATAACACAAATATATACATGGGAGAATTTCATTTTTACCTTTAATTTGGTATCATTAGTTATGTTTACTTTCTCTAGATGGACATCTTCAAAAAAACCTAAGTATGAGACTGCTTTAATGAGACAAAAAAACATTTATCACTAAGAAGACAAAATACATTTATACCCTTGATTCATAAATATATATAATTATATGGATAAACAAAATTCAAATAGAATTTTTTTATGTTTTCGAATTATAACTTTTCAAATTTGAAGAATTAAAGTTTTTTTGAATTTTTTTCAAAGTTTTGTTTTTTGATTTTTTGATTTTTTAGGAATTCTTTTCAAATTCAAAATATTTTTATATTTATATTTTAATTTAAGTATTTGTTTATATTTTTATTTAAATTCTAAACATTTCCCTCCAAAATCTCATCTTTCAAATCTAAACCATAAATCTAGACTAGTTAATTCTATGGTTATAAGTGTCTTTTTACCTCATAACGACCATGTTTAAATGTAGTTAAGGTAAATATGAAAATGATACTAAGAAAGTGCAAGTTTATGCAATTTCCTTATATACATATTTTGCTTACAAAAATATAAATAACCTACATTAACAACTCGAATCAAGTCATAAACATAAATTTATTATGCTTTAAAATAAATTATATTACTATATCTGACTCTTTCTAATTTATTTTTAAACAATGAATTACGAGCTTGAACACCTGAACAATACTAGTAAAAAGCTTCAATCTAGGGTAAGACCGGATCTGGATCTAGAAAACTCAAGGTATCCGAATCTGGTTTCGGATTTGTCGGATTGGTGGATTTAGTATATGGATCCAGATTCAAAGCTTCAGGATATTCAATTTTTGAATAT